GGTAGTTCCATTTCCAGTTTTTTGAGATACTTCCGTACTGATTTCCATAATGGCTGCACCAATCTGCAGTCCCACCAACAGTGCACCAGGGTTCCCTTTTCTCCACAAGGGTTATTGTGTTTTAATGTAAAGTTTAGCAAAAGTTCAGTACTCTCACTTGTCTTACAATCAGGTGGAAGGAAATTAAAGTCAACATTAATCTCCCCTACTGTCCTCATGCTGGTTGTCTCTGTGGCCCTTTGAGGTCTACTCTCCCTCCTCTCGTTTCTGGGACCACGAGGCTGACACCCTATTAGCTTCCAGCAGGAGACAGGAGGCTGTGAAGAGAAAGGGATGGTTGTATTTACCCCACCAGTTTCATCCCTGCCAGACCACTGACACAATTCCCTCTTACCGTATCCTTTCACTGTGTATTTTAATTGCCTGAGATAAATTTTGGAAGGCTAATGAAAAGACTATGTTTAAAAAAAATAGAATTCATGGCCACCTGGTCCTGATTGTGTGTGTGAGTGTGTGTGTGTGTGTGTGTGTGTATGCGCACGTGCATACACACATGCAATGAAAGTAGAGTGCCTATATTTGCAATCAGTTAGAAACAGGGAAAAGAAGTATTTTTGTTTAAAAAGTAAACTTGATTTAACAGCTCCTTTATATTACATACATTTTAGGAAATCTGTCATTGAAGGCAGTGATTTAAGTGGAAAACATCGTGAAATAATCATTAAGGAGGACATCTCTCAGCCACGAGGAATTGCTGTTCATCCAATGGCCAAGTAGGTATTTATGAAATTTAGGTGCCTTTCTGCAGAGGCCATGTGATAGTTCATGTTTGAAATGCTAATGTCTAAAATTTGCCTTAAGACCTCAGTTGGTCAATGGAATCAGAAACCAAGAAAATCCACTAGATTTGTTCATATCTTCAGAAATGATGTAGCAAAGTATGTTTTCCTCATTTTTAAATGTCTTTTGATTTTATATTCTTGTATTAAAAAATTATTGTTTAGATATCCTTTCGTTTTAAGCAAATTCAATGTCTTTCTGAAAATAAATGGGCTGTAATTCACTAATCAATTAAACATAAGCCCATTAAACTATTTTCTTTCTTTCTTTAAAAATCTATATTATTGCTTTTCTGAGCAGAGGATGATATTTGGATTGTATGACTTATGGATTCTATTTAGAAAAATCATAAGATGAGTTCAAATTATAGGTCATTCCTAGATTTAAACAAGAGGAGATAGTATTCATGAAATATTAGAAGATTCTATGTTGTTAATTATAAATTAGTGATAAATGTTGGTTTAGATTCAGAAAATTAAGGAGAATCACTGATTCCTCCCTAGTTTTTAAAATAACAAGGATAAAAACCAACCCTATTTTATTTATGATGGTCTATGGGAAATAATATACTGGTAATAATTGATCATTGATTTGAACCCAGCCACATGATTAAAACAATGAGAATATAACCATCTCTAAGCAGGCCGGAGAAAAGATATTGAGCCATATGGATCTCAAAAAATGTTTCTCAGAACATTTACGAAATGTGATTTAAAGAACTTAAAATGAACCAAGTTACCCAAGCACATTGTATAAAACTGGGTAATAAATATGATCTTCCCATTATGCTGTAATTTTACGTATGTGGTGAGTTTTACATATGCATAGCAGAGGGACAAGCTAGCAAGATTTCATTGCCTTTCATAGAATATGCATTTGAATACACTTTCAATTAGTAATATACTGCAATTCTTTAAATTAATAATTCCTTTTTTAAATTAAATTTATTGGGGTGACAATGGTTAGTAAAATTACATAGGTTTCAAGTGTACAATTCTAATACATCATCTATATATCACATTGTGTGCGCTCCACAATTATTCCTTTTTTATCTAGTGATCTGAGCCTTAATTCAGCATTTCCTGTCCAAGATGCTTTACCTAGAAAGGTTTTTGCTTTTGAAAAATTATTTATGCAACAATACAGCACAATACTTTCTCCTTCTATATTCCTTAATGTATTACTATAGTTTATCCTAAAGTGATTTGCATTGATGTTTCCAATGATGAGAGAATGGAAGAATTATTTTGTGCAAATTTTATTTGTTGTATGCTTTCTTGATTGAAGGAGATTATTCTGGACTGATATGGGGATTAATCCACGAATTGAAAGTTCTTCCCTTCAAGGCATTGGCCGACTGGTTATCGCTAGCTCTGAGCTGGTCTGGCCCAGCGGAATAACGATTGATTTCTTAACTGATAAATTGTATTGGTGCGATGCCAAGCAGTCTGTGATTGAAATGGCCAATCTGGACGGTTCGAAACGCCAAAGACTTGCCCAGAACGATGTAGGTGAGGCTTTGGGATGAGTGATTTCTTTATTTTGACTGAGAATTGATGAGTGTTAAATACAAAATGTGTTTGCATGCGCATGCACCTGAGCCCCCCCGTCTCTCTCTGTCTCTCTGTCTCTGCCTCTGTCTCTGTCTCTCTCTCTCTCTCTCTCTCACACACACACACACACACACACACACACGTGCACACACACACACACACACACACACCCTTAACCATGTGGTGAGAAAGGAATAAAGACAAACAGACTGACAGACTTCCCCAAGGATTTATGATCTATGAGGATTACATTAACATTGGTATATTGGGTAAAAAATAGTGATGCATAATCATTTCTCTTTGCCAAGATCTCCCAAAATTAGGATAAAAATATTAAAATTTTAAAACTTCTTTAAGACCAAGAACTTGGTTCAGCTGTTATCATTTCTTATGTTTTAGAAAATGTCATTTTCACAACAGTGATACTATCACCTTTAAGCATTAATGAATATCTATTGATAACATGTTCAAAGATTAACATAGCTTTTTCCCACTATTATATTTTCAAATTTTACATTAGGGTATTATGCATTTTCTTAAATATCTTTAAAACACGGTAGTCTAGGCTAACTGTTAAAGTAGAAGTACAAATGGCAATGAGATTCATGACTCAGGGAATCTGCAAAGACAGCATTTGAACTGGGCCATGTGGTAAATAGATGGTGATAAAACTTTGTCATTGGAAATAAGGCTGCAAAAATTGGTCTTTGTATGTTAGTAGTGCCAAGATACGTTGATCAACTTGATTCTGAACATACTGGCGAGCCATTGCATGTTCTTGAGCAGGAAATACATATAAGATGGGTATTTCAGGGTAACAATTTAGGTAACAGTATAAGGGTTGGACTGGAATTTGGAGAGAAAGAAATCAGTTAGGAAACTGAAAAGGTTGTCCAGCTAATGAAAGCCAGAACTAGAACACTGTCATTTAACAGTGGACTGGAGGATTAGAGTATTAAAAAAATAATTTTGAATAAAAAAATTCAGAGGATATTGTAACAGATTGGATATAGAAATGAGGGCAGGAGATGTTGAAGGGGCTTCAGCGATTTGCAAACTGATTGGGAAGATGAAACATACATGGTTTCTTTCTTTTAGGAAGAAGCTAACAAACTAATAATCTGGTTACATACTGCCTAGTTTCTTTAAAAATTAAAGAGATACTTCATAAGAAATGATAAGCTGTGTACAATCATAAATTTTATTCATCCATGCACTTAACAGATATTTATTGAATCATTATAGGAAGTGGAGAAACAGCAGAGTTAGGTAAATATGATTTCTGTGAAGTCACGAGGTCTAGGTGGGGAGATACACATTACTAAAAAAATATGTCTCCCAAATAAATGTAAAATTGTAGCTTTGATATATGAGGGTATAAAGGGACTTGAAAATTTCTCACCAGAATGTAAACAAGCAATATTCTAAACCCAAAATCATAGCAGATCTATTTTTTTAACAGTTTGTACTGCTATTCTAATCTGTGACTAATACAACTTCCTATTAAAGGCCATCATCAAATAATTGGAAATTAAAATGTCTAAATAACAATTTCCATCACTGCAGTGCCATCTACAGGCATGTAAGTGGTGGCTCCTTAGATGCCAGTTCAGGATTTTTAATGTAAAAATTGAAGGAATTTATTCTTAATTTTAAATGCAAGTGTGGCTCTTCTATGACCAAAAAATAAGAACGATTGTGTCTGGTGTGGGGGATTTGTTGAGAAACTATAGCTAGTTTGGACACATGCTGGCTATCACATGGATGAATCCAGAGGACATTATACTAAGTGAAATAATCCAGTCACCGAAGATAAATATTGTATGATTCCACTTATTCGAGGAATCTAGAATAGTCAAATTCACAGAAACAAAAGGTAGAATGGGGTTTGTCAGGGATTTAGGGGAGGGGGACATGAGAAGTTGTTTAATAGATAACGAGTTTTAGTTTTACAAGATAAAAAGCTCTGGAATTTGGGTGCACAACAGCGTGAATGTACTTAACACTACTGAACTGTACACAAGATGGTCAATATTGTGTTTTTTACTAAAATAAAAAAGAAACTGACAGCTTTATTAAAAAATTTCCTTGCTGCGTTTATGGATTTAACTTGGGACAAAGGGCTAGAGACTAAAATAAGTCTTAACGGCCTTGGTCAGTTATGATGGGTGGAGACTCACTGTCACCAGGACAAGTCATTTGAGTTTGCTGCCAGGAGAGGGAGACATTTATTCTAATCCACCAAATCCACCAAATCCATTGCTCATTTGCAAAAAGACTGGCCTGGAAAATGTGACTGGAAATGATTAAAGCTTGGGCCTCTTTAACTTTAGCTTCTAACCACTTGAGATGGTCTGTTACATTTCCCGGCTTGCTAAATACTGGAATATCTTATCAGAGCCGATTCAGCGGCCTGAAGAGGTGGGTTTAGTTGAGGTGGAGTCAGAAGGGCCCACCTAGGGGCGCTTTTTTTCTGTAGCCACGAAAATGGAGGCTGCAGATAATAAAGGGCTTTCAAAAAACTTGGCTAAAAATGTAAGAGAGACAAAAAGAAGCTAGTGGGGTCAAGGGGATGAGGAAATTAAGATGGGTGAGACCTGAGGATATTTATTTAATCATCGGTTAAGGGAAAGAAGTTAGTAGAATGAAGAAAATGAAGATGTAAACGAAAGGGGTAATTCATCGAACAAGGACCTAGAGAAGGCAGGAAAGACAACACCAGGAGCACAGGCCAATGGATTAATATTAGATAAGAGGTGAGATAGGAAAGAAGGTGGCTATCCGATGCAGGGAAATGTGTTGATGGACATGGGAATTTGAGGAGCCTATTATTCGGTTACCTTAAATGTTTAAAGGTCCTTACAACATCCTGTGAATTTGGTGTACTACTTATCACTGCCATTCAAAAGACAAGGAACTGAAGGCAAAGAGGGGTAAGATAACTTACTCAAGTTTAGTCTATAAATAGTGACAGAATCACTGAACACAGAAGCATTCCCGCCTGGCCTCCTTCTGCTTGGTGCTGTCATGTCCATCATCTTGCATTCTCGTTTTCCAAATCCTGGGCTTCCCTAGGGTTTCATACCTCCAGGCTCCCTTTCTTTTTCTTTCTTTCTTTTTTTTTTTTTTGGCTGAGCCATCCTGCCTTCCGTTGGCAGCTCAGCAGCAGCTCAGTTTGGGCCTGGACTCGAACCGCTAGTTGCTCAGAGCTTGCACTCTTGAGCGAGCTCTTAACCAACTGAGCCACTCGGCCAGCCCGAGGCTTCCTTTCTAAGATGAGGTTATCCCATCGTGTAGGTTCTCCTTGATGCAGATATAGGTCATGGCTCATACCTTGCTTATTAGCAGTTATAGTAAAGAATTGATTTAGTATTGAGAGTGTGTGTGTATGTTTCAAGCCTTGTCTTTTAAAAAATAATCATGGCAAAGACAAGCTGTGTGTAATGGATTGGAACTGCTTCCAGGTCGACCATTTGCTGTGGCCGTGTTTGGGGATGACGTGTGGTTCTCTGACTGGACTGTGCCATCGGTAATAAGGGTGAACAAGAGGACTGGCCAAAATAGGGTATGTCTCCGAGGCAGCATGCTGAAGCCCTCATCACTGGTTGTAGTTCATCCATTGGCAAAACCAGGTACACTGGACATGTTACACAGTCTTTCTTTGGCTGGAATCTGCAACTATTTTAATTGTTTGATGGCAGGGGAGGAGAGAGGAGGGGGGATTTTGCAGTTCTCACTGATGGGGTAGATGTTAAGATTTCCTGAGATTTGGATTTCATTGAAACTAAGACACTCTGATAGTGAATTTGGGCTTTATTCCTCCAATCTCATTTTTTTCTCTCTCTCTTCTGAACACCTTCTACTTATCTGCTCCATTTAAAAGACTTTTGGGTTAAAAGCACTAAGGGTGTGGGTGGGGGAAGAGAAATTTAGACCCTGGAAGCTTCTATCTACACTGGGGCCTTTCTCCACCCCCAGGGAGTAAGCAAAGAAAAAGGCATCTAGTGTCCTGCAGTAACTCTTTTTCCTGAATTGCCCATTGTCAGTTTGACTGGATCATGAGTTAGGAAGTAAGAATGTCATCTGCCTAAAGTACTGGCTCTACTCAATACATGCTCATGAGGTAATGACATTCTGAGCTTACCTTAGTGGCTCCTTATAGGGACTCATCTGAAAGAGCTCTTGACATAGGCTCCATTTAGATACACAGAGTTTCTCTCCCCCAAAGATGTACACTGATTTGCACCAGTGGCGCCCTTTTGACCTCCAAGCCCATCTGTGACTGCACCTCTTCCCCCTCCTAGGAGCAGATCCCTGCTTATATCAAAATGGAGGCTGTGAACATATTTGCAAACAGAAGTTTGGAACTGCTCAGTGTTCGTGTCGTGAAGGTTTTGTGAAAGCCCCAGATGGGAAAATGTGTCTGGCTCTAAATGGCCATCAGATATCGACAGGTAATATGATAAATTATGTGGCTAAATGATCCCACCGTGGCTCAGGAATATAGTTCTATTCTGCATTGAACCCTATACTTTTGCTGATTTTTAATATTTTGTATAAATAAAAGCTCCCCTGTTTTTAGGGATGCCAAGTGTTTTTTTTTTCTTCCTCTGATCAGTTTGAGTTCCTTATTAAAGACTAAATTCAATTGACCTCCTCTAGTTGTAAAGTTAGTGCACAAAAGAGTTTTCAAAGTCCAATCCGCCAGCCCCGTATCTGCAGTGGAGTTAGCCCAACCTTAGAAATAAATGCCAGCGTTTTACCACCTCAGACAGTGTTCAGAGACATTTTGTTCACATGTCTTATGGCCTTAGTGTTAGAGGTAGTCATATACAAACCCCCTACTACATGACTGGTTTTAATATGGAAGGCAAAGTCCTTTCTAATAAATAATGTGAGACTATCAAATAAATGTGGGGAATTCAACTGGAGAAGCCTGTTATCATGTTTTTGAAAACTAACTATGGCTTTGAGGATGAGTGGATCAAGTGTTATATAAAGTCAGTAGTCCTGACTTGCTTCCCTTGAATGTGTATCTAAACAATTACGGTATATTTGGATTCATCTCTTGATATCTTTGTACCAAAGACAATTTAAATTTTATTAAGAATATTTTTAAAAAATTCATATGCATCTCATAAGTGTTGTGTAAGTTAGATGACAGATTGACAACAAATAAATGGATTAATCTATCCAGGGACTGGGATTGGGTATTTTGGATTTTCAGAACTTTCTACTAATTGTTGCTTTAGGACAACAGTTCTCAAGCTTTCTGGTTTCAGGTCCCCTTTACATTTTTAAAAATGATTGAGAACCCCAAAGAGTTTTTGTTCATGTAGGCTATAGCTATCAATATTTATGATATTAGAAATTAAAACTAAAAACTTTTAAAATTATTCCTATTAAAATTAATAATGCTCCATTATATATGAACATAATATATTTTTATGGAAATAAATGAAATAATTATATTTTCCAAAACAAAAAATACATAGTAAGAAGAATTGTGTTGGTTTACCTTTATATTTTTAATGCCTGGTTTAATAGAGGGTAGCTGGATTCTCATATCTGCTTGTATGTTAAACATATCTGTTGCCGTGTTGTTTTGGTTGAAACCTATGAAGAAAACTGGTCTCACACAGACATAGAGTTGGAAAAAGGAGGATTATTTAATAGCCTTTTCAGATGCTTGTTTTTGTATCTCTTCTTTAAATACTGTATCAGAACTAGACAATTGGTAGTTTCTTAGAGCTTAGTTGCAATGTGGAATCTGAAGCCATATTAATACACTGTTTGTCCTCTGATACATTAAAATTCAGGATCTATTTTGTACTTTGAGTGGATCTTTTACCTTGCATGATTTTGTAGCATCATGTTTTGGTCATTTGAAAATATTGATTGACTGAGTCATACAGATCTTTCAAATGTCACATTAATACACACAAAAAAAATCACATTAATTATTATCATCAAACTCATCAGAAAAGTCTTTGACTATTGGAATTTTGTTAGGTTCGTGGTAGTGGAAAAAATTTTCCAGAATTCTGGTTTTCACTCGAAAGTTCAAATTTTATCATTGGCAACAAGCATTGTGAATTGTTTTCCTTCAAGTGACAGGCCCATTTCATTCATTTTTCTAAAAAATGCTTGCCAATTTCCTAAGTGTTAATAACATAGTTTATCATTCATTCTTTTAAGTAAAAATCATGTGAAAAAAGAGACTAGCTGCAGTTCACAACTCAAAGAGCATACAAGTTCTTTTCCTTCAGTCAACCATCATAATTGATATCAGCGTTTTATGTGTTCTTCCCATTTCATTATACTATTATTAAAGAGCCAAATATTCCTTGGTTGAGATTTTAGAAAATTAATAATTCTTACTCTTAATCATGGATCTTATTAAGTGAAAGTGGAGTGTGTGTGTGTGTATGTGTGTGTGTGTGTGTGTGTGTGTATAGAACATGACCACTAGTAGAGTTTGGTGCCATGACCTTGATTCATGCTAAGGCACTGCGCCCATCATTGCGTTTGCCCATCAATATCAATGTAGACACATTTGCCTTTTGTGAAAATAGTTGTGATCGTATGGACTCCATAAAATGGGACCCCAGAGATCCATGGACCGCACTTCAAGAACACACTTGGTGTTTTAGAGGAGCCATTTCTCCTATGTCTGGGGAGTTGCATAGGTCCCAGGCCTATGTTAAATCATAGCTTGTTTATGCCCCTCCACATTTCTAAATGAGAGTAAAATCAGGCTAAAATAAGTGTTGAAAGTAGCCTAAAGAAGGAGTGTGTATGAAAGGCAGGTTGGAGAGGTCTCAGTAATTTTTTTCTTGTAATGGCAGGCTGTGATTATGAGCTGATTATATTCACAAGGATTTTGGTATTTTATTCATACTGTTTTTTGCCAGTACCTAAAAAAATCCTGTCTTCCTTTCCCACTGGCCCCCCCATCCTCAACCATCAAGTTACACAGAGTGAAGCTGGGAGGGTATGGATAGCAAGTAAGGTTTTCTCAGTTACCCTGATCATTTCCCTGAATCCTCTTACTGTCAGAATGAATCTGAACTCATAACCAACCAAGAGCTACAAATATAAATTAAATCAAACTTTTCTTGAACCATAAAAGATAAATTAACTATATCTGTTGACCTTCCATAGGTAGTGAAACAGACCTAAGTCAAGGAACGCCATCGGACATCCTATCCAGCAGTCCAGCATTAGAAGATAACAGCACAGAATCCCGACATATGCTAGTGGCCGAAATCATGGTGTCAGGTATGAATAATGAGTTCGCCAGCACAGCTTTGTCTCCAACAAGCTCCACCCTACCACTTAGAGATTCTGAATTCTCTCTCTAACTTAATGTTGGCTAAATCTACACAAAGCTATTGAAGCCAAACTTTGGACTCCAACTTTGGTTCCTTCTTCTCTTCTGAACTGTGTGCTGAGGGAGATGGCTCCATATTAGACTGGACATGAACTTGACTCACTGAGACTCTTTGGACTGAGCCTTCTTGGAAGAAATCTAACTTGGAAACAAAGGTGAAAAATAGGACAGAACAGACTGCAGTGTACCCCCCCACACACACACACACACCTAGTATTTTTGGCATTTGGCCCATCCAGCTGTACTTCCATTAGTGTGACAGAAGACAGTAATTGATAGGCAAATATAGGTTGTTTGCTTCAGCTGTTCCAGAAAGTCCAAAAACAGCAAATATTAGGCATTTTTTCCTTCAATATATGGCACGTTTATCACCCAAATGCTAAGTTATTTGTTCAGTATGTAACAACTTTAGGGAACCTAATCCTTTTATGTTCTATATTCACTCATGAGGCCAGTGGTTTTCAAACTGGGTTTAGCTCAACCCTAGGTCTTCTACAAACTCTACCCCTTCTTCCCTCTAGGTCTCTGCCCTTCCATTAGTGCAGCTATACTTTGAAACAGTGTATTTATTTGTATTTCTGAGTAAGATTTTTAACCAAGTGCCTGTAACTAAAAGGAAGTTTGAAAATTCCACAGTAGTACATTACATACACGTAACAAAGCGCTCATCCAACTTTTGTGGTCTACAGACTACTTTGACAATATACGAGTCCTGGGACCTCTTGCCCCTCCTTATAAGAACTTATCAGTGTGATTTTAGATAAGATAAAAAGAGGCGGATATTTTTAGTAATGATAATTTGTATGAAGCTCTAGAATTTACCAGGTTGATCCTATCACAACACATCACTTTACAGATTCGAAAACTGAAATTAAGGTATATTGTTAGTGACTTGGCCAAAGATTTTTGAAAATTATGACCAAATAATTAATTCATGTCAAGAAAAGAAGTACTGGAAAACGTTGTCACATTAGGAATATTATTCATTTAATGACTATTTATTTGCCCCACTCTGTGCTAAGGGCTGGGGCTACTGTGATGAGCTAAATAAAACCCCAGTCTCCAAGGTCACTGTCTGATGTGGGGACAAGCAATATTATGGAATAAAACAATATAAATAAATATTAGTATATAGAGAACCTGTCAAAGTCACTAGGGATCCCTAGATGTTCATAAAGCATAGTTTGAAAGACTAATGTTTGGGAGATTCAAAGACCAACATGAATGACAGGTAGTAAATTAGGCACATGGATGGGATGGGGGAGTGATGAAATGGCCAAAGATTTGGAATACATATATAATAGGCTGTGTTTGGCTTCGTACCTGGAGCCTATACCCTGCTTTGTGCAGAATAAACAAAATTGATTGTCGTGGTGAAAATTACCTCATCTTTTCATACCTGGATTGTATTCTATTTTGTCTTTGCCTATAAAGCAGCAGTTTTACCTGTGTTAGGCTAAGGGGTCTTATTTATATTTTGTGGTTAGATTTCATTTCAACAAAATGTCTATACTAAAAAGAGTTCGAAAACTGTCTTGGATTTTAGGTCAATATATTCTTATTCCCTAAAGACACACAGACAGATATGTAGCAAGTGGGTCTGTGTACAATATGACAAAGAGATTCAATCATAAAAAGTTTCATTGTCAAATTCATGAATAAAATAAAACATTCCTAATGTGGCCTGTTGGGCCCTGGATGAACTAGCCCTTACACACTTCACCAACCTAAATTTGTGCCCTTCTGTCCTCCACTTTCTATGGCCTGCTTCAGTTACCCTGCACTTACCTGTAACATGCAGGTGTTGTGTTCTTGGCCCAGTGCTCTTTCTAACCCCTCCAAGTCCTGCAAATTCTTCAGATCTCAGCTTCATATGCTCTTGCTCAGAAAGCCTTTCCTAGTCTCCTGACCAGGTAAGGTGAGAGCTACTCCAATTCTCTTAGAACTAGGTATTGTTTCATGATAGTGCTTATCACACCTGTACGTCAATAATTAATTATGCAAGAAAACAGAGCCCTTGTCTGTATTCTCCACCACTGTATTTTTGGCCCTCATTAGGATCTGGCATGTAGTAGGTACTTTTGAATGAAATTAATTTTACTAAAAGGTCCCAGAATTTTTTCTGGTGTGATAAGGCTAATTCTGATTCAGGATGTCACAGCATTCTTCTCTATCATCCTTATTTTGATATGTATAATATTTTATAATTCTGAAAGAATTTTTTTTTTAAATCCCTCTTTTCTTCAACAATCATGTGATGTAGGCTGGACAGAAATTGTCACCTATATTTTAGAGAAGAGGAGTGTGAAGCCCAGCATCCCTTCTTTCCAGAGCTAGTTTGTGGCAGAAAGAAGATTAGCTGTCACCCATCCCTCCAACAACTGCATATCCATGCTTTTCATGAGGCAAAGCTGCCTTGGGTTTTGCAAGTGACCAAATAAATCCTAAAACATATTCTAATTTAAGATAATTCTGCAAGTGATTTAACATGTCTTAGGGCCGGCCAAGTGGCTCCGTTGGTTAAGCGCTCGCTCAAGAGTGCAAGCTCTGAGCAACTAGTGGTTCGATTCCTGGCCCGAACTGATCTGCCGCTGAACTGCCAGCAGGTGGCAGGATGGCTCAGCTAAGAAAAATAAAATAATAAAATAAAATAAAATGTCTTGAGTAATTAGATACTGTCCACCGCACACTCTGAACAGCCTTGTGATTTGGGAGCCAGCCCTCCAATAAATGCCGAATCAAACGGGTGATCGATTAGTCTGAACTTATCCATCTCTAAGAGTCATGAGTGACAGATGACCAAGCAAACCTGAAAGGCATGCATTTCCATAACAGAAATCCCACTCAAATCACTAAGCAAATTAAACGCAGCTCCCCAATGTCTGCATTCACGTGGCACTGAGTCCTATTTAGATCATTTACCTTTCTTTAATTTATGGGAAAGTTTGAAGGGCCTCTTTGACTTTTTCTATACTCATATGAGCAAACTTACTAGTGAATAGACAGATGACAGTTTATATCCTACTGTGGTATGTCAGATCCCCCCAACTCTAAAAGAGAGGAGGCATTTGGAGAATGGAGAATGATTATATACATAAGGAGAAAAAAGAAAGAAAAAAAAACCTTGCTCATGTTTATGGCTGAGCATACAACTCTGTCCCCTGGGGCATTTGCATTTCAGTGGAGTATGAAATGAAATGATCCATTTACAGCATTTAGTTTGTATGGCTCATGATTTTGTAACAGTGCCTTGAGGTTTGCAAGTCACTGCATAAATCTTGATAATAAACATGTATTGTGACATTACAGATTCTATTATTTGAAACATAATTTTAGTTAATTGACAATAAATCTTTATGATTGAATCTCTTTTCCATGTTGGTACATAGAGCTACTTGCTATATATTATCCTGTGTGCCTGTGAGGGATAAAAATATATTGACTCCTTTTGTATGTCATAATGCTTGGAAATTCTCAAATAAGAAATAAACCTTTTGAAATTTGAGTCCATTTGCTCTTAGCAATTTTATAATTCAAATATTAAGTGCCTTTAACAATTGTAAATAAGTTCACACAGGGCTGTTTGAACTCCAAACAGTTCTTTAAAACTAAAGATTTGTTGAGTACATGTAAATGGAAACATATGGCTTGTGGATCCTTTAATACAGATATAGCTTACAAGTCAATAGTGTTTCTGTTTGGAAGTTAACCTGTCCCAAAACTTGCGAAAGGAAGTGCTGGAATGCTCCGTAATACCCAGAACATTAACGCCCCTGAGGTCTGGAAATAATCTGATGGGGTTCTCACTGTTTGCAGATGACGACGACTGTGGTCCTGTGAGATGTGGTATCCACTCTCGATGTGTTTCAGAGGGAGAAGTTGCCATGTGTCAGTGTTTGAGAGGATTTGCTGGGGATGGAAAAGTATGTTCTGGTAAGAGCAAAGGCCAACACACATAATTGTGGAAAATAGTGAACCAGAAACATTCTCTCAGACCATATGGGTTCAAAATCTCCAGAACGTATGTAATCAGCAGGATTGAATAAATTATTTGGTATTAGCTAAAAAGATTATGGATGGAATGTATAATAAACATGAAACATAGAATATGTTGTTACATTCATTACCTTGAGTTTATATTAAAATTACGTGATATAAGCAGTTGACATTAAGGAGAAGAATTTATAATTAATTTCAGAAGTGTGAATTTGAGTTTAAGTCAAATTTGTAAATTCAACAATTCCAATAAAAACAATTTTTTTTCCCCAAAAAACCTTAGGTCGTAAGTTTTAGTTTGATAAATAGGTTGTGACGGATAACTTTCTATTTTATATTGATAGCCTCAAGATTTTAAGTTAGTGATTACTATAAAAATCTCAATTCTTATGGTCTGAAACCCTGGCAAAAAGTGATTTATTTACATATACTTAGCTAATCCAACATGTGAGAAATCTGTAAAAATTTGATGAACTTTATGTCCAAGACGCAGGGTTTGCATTGCATTTGCAGTCTCTGTAAGTGGCTGAATGATCATATATACGATTATACTTATTTTTCCCTCGTTTATACCAGAATTGCTTATATATTTCACTAGTTCATCATTTGCCCACAGATATAGATGAATGTGAGATGGGTATCACAGTTTGCCTACATCCCTCCTCCAAGTGCATCAATACTGAAGGCAGCTATGTCTGCCAGTGCTCTGAAGGCTACCGAGGAGACGGGACTCACTGTCTTGGTAAGAGCACGTGTGTGAAAGTGGGTGGGTGGAGGGCAGGCCTCGGAGAATCACGAAATGCTCTGGGTGTGGTGGGCCAAGAAAAGACATGTATATTAACATGGAGTGATGTACATGTTAAAACTAAAAGAGGAGTTGTGTGACTTGTTTAAACTGATATCTTTCAGTTCTTGGTACATAGTCAAGTTTGTGCCCTTGTGTTATTCTTGCACTAGTCAGCGTCAAGACCCTGCAGAAGTTTCTTACCCCTCTGCCTTTCTAATTCTTTTCTGTGGTTGAGTGACACCAATTGTTCATCAATATTCCATACCTTGAGCCATCATGGGGGAAATTGAACCACATTTTTCTTGTCACTGAATTTGGCAATTGAGCCGGAGCCATTTGCAGAGCTGATGTAGGTTTTACTGTGTGTGTGTGTGTGTGTGTGTGTGTGTGTGTGTGTGTGTGTGTAAAGGAAAGGAGGTGTGGCTCTGTGAAAGGTCTCCTCAGGTGGCTCTTGATAAGTTCAATAGATGAAAGACTCAAGCTACTGACAAGTTAGATACAGAGAAAGAATGATTAAGACCTCTTTCATAATCACCATCCTCTGCCAAGGTCTGGGTGTGGCTTGTTGGGTGGGAGTTCACTTAGGGGATGTCTTGTCCCATTCCAGGTGTCAGTAGCATAGCATCGCCTCACAAGTGAAGACCTGCCTGAAGCTATTGTAGCCCAGCGAAGTGGTTATCTGAAGTTTTACAGGGCTTTAAAATGTCTCTGTCAGTATTTTCTTTTCCTTCTGAAAACATAAAATTCTTTTCACGGTGAGAGGCAGATGCCCTGATAAGAAACTAAAATTGGGCTGCTTTCTCCTACACGTCGAGGTTAAAGATGAAATATCAGTCATAACTACCAATTTTCTAGATCTGGTTGGTTTAAATCAGACCTTTATCAGATTAGTTTTGTGGAGTCCACAGACATCTGTAAATGCTCTTTTTAAGCACATATTTGGCTGTCAGTCAGGAAAATGTCACTGCTCTAATTAAGCAGGCTCATAGATAATTTAGACAAACGGGCTCTATATTTAATTTACTTTGAACAGAAAGAAAGGCATACTTTCTTGGATGTTTAAACTCATTAGACTCTGGATTTTCACCCTGTTACTAACCCACCTCCTCCCAGTAGCCAACATACCATGGGATATCATGACCCAGCCTGCCCCATGGAAGCACTGAGCTTGCTCCTGTCCTCTCTCTCCTTCCCTCCCTCGCCACATATATTAAAGTGTTGCTGTTATTTTTATTGTTAAGAGTAGTTGTGTTTCTTGGCCAAGAGTATATCTTTGTTTTTGTTTCTTGCAAAAGCTCTCTCTCATTCTCAAGGTGATAGTTCATAGAGATTAAAATAGGAAGTCAGTTAAAAAAAAACCAACAACTCAGTTTGAGCCATTCAGGATAGCAATTCAACATGACAAATATTTAATTGGTCTCTATTAGTGCAAAGGCACAGTACTATGAACTATAAGGAATACCCAGGTAGTGAAGGCAGTCCTTGCTTGTAAGGAGAATATGATCTAAAAGACACACAGCTGTGATGAGTGGTAAAGAACAGTATGCATCCTAAGAGGAGTAAAAACTACAGTGGAAGTTCAGAACTGGAAGAAATATTTGTTTGAGGTAGTGGGAAACACTAAATGGAGGAAGAAGTATCATTTTGGATGGACCTTGGGGCATGGGTAAATTTATATTAGGTGGAAATATGAAAGGGAAGAAAATAATCTAATTGAGCACTACAAGTAAGTGTTAGGTTGTGTGTGAGGGAAAACAGAAATTGAGGCTGGTAAGATGGTAGCTTAGTCTGTTGTATAGACTGGTGGCCTAAACAACAGACATTAGTTTTCTCACAGTTCTGGAGGCTAGATGTCCCAGATCAAGGTG